AAGATCTCTCACAGTAAAGCCCACAAAAGGTAAACTCAGGCTTAAACCCATGGCCATGAGGCGCCTGGGTAAGCCTCAACCCCTAGCAGATGGGAGCCGTCCCAAAAACAAGCTGCTTTTGAGACGCAACTTCAGGTTTGAAAACAAAGAGAAATTCATCACGCAGGCGGACGGGGTCGCAAGAGTGTGATGCGCAATGCTTTTCGCCACGACCATGTCTTGAATGTGGGGGTATGAAGCTTGGATACGAGATGGCCGCCTGCCTGATCGGCCATGGGGCAAGTGGGCCACTTCACCGCAAAGAGCGCGGTTGTGGGCACAGATTGGCAATCAGGTTTTTCTTATGTCTTACAGGTTGCTCAACAAGACTGCCGAAATCTCCTGGCACACGTCACATCGTCGCTCGATGGTAAGATGTCGTGCTTCCGCGCACCACTAGGTGGGCATGTGCACACGTGCTGGCGCTATGTGTTTGAAACTTATACCTCGCTAGCATGGATTGCTTCATTAAGTTGCCAGGCGCGGTGCTGTGCAAGCTTTTTCAATCTTGAATGGTTTCGGGCTGTCGCAGATGCTTGACATGCAGTTCAGATTGAGATTGAAAGCACAAGCCACGGCGGTCATGATGGACACGTCCCCCGTGTTCAGGCAGTGCCGGAAGCAGTGGCCCAGTGCCATCCATGCGCATGTCTGAATCATTCTGAGACCGTTGAAGCCAGGTTGTGCCGTCTGCTTTCTCTGCACAGCCACTGTGCATGCACAGTGGAACACAGGAAATGTGCTCGACCCGCCTGGTGCCTTACGGTGCCTTACGGCTTGAAAGCGAAGCCATCGCGGCACAGGCTTGCGTGACTTGCGTGCTCTCAAATGCGAGAACTTGAGGACAGCCTTGTCACAGGCCGCAGCGTCGCACAGGTGTGGTAGACAGGACAGATGTCGGGTGCTTCAATGTGTAGGACTGGTTTGCAAGCCACTTCTTGCAAGAGCACTGCCTAACTATTGCCTACCATTTGAATTCGGTGGTTTGCATCTTCAAGCAGACGAGCAGACGCTTCAAAGTCTCACTCTCAAACACAGCGAAATCTTGAGGAGTCGGAAATGCAGACAGACTACCGAGACCAACCTCTACGGGACACGTCCATACATACGTCACGACGTCACGAATGCGAGCTGCGATGATGCAACAGGCCTCATCTTCTGGTGCTCTGCATGCTGTGCTGCACAGAGCTTCTCGTGATACTGCCTGCACTGCAAACACGTCGAAAGCCGCAGACAACAGCATGGCAGTCGTCACATTCTTTCCAAATCCGAGCTCGACACGTGCAGATTCCTTGCAGGGATCTCGAATGGGCTGACAGCAGAGCAGTCTCACACCAAGGGAGCCAACCGGCAGGCCAACGTTTTGCATTCAACCGTTCCCCTGCAAGAGATGTGCAAAGTGCCGTTGTGCTGCGGAGCTCTTGTCTAAGCAAAATCACTATGAAGTCTGTTCATTGGCGTATCAGCCGTAGCACTTCTCGGCATCTGCAGCGGCAAGAGTGCTCTTGCCCCGAGATCCACCGTTTGCCATCTAAGCGCATGCCTGTCCCAAGCACCAAAACTCGAAAGACAAGGCGGGTAGCCGCGAGGATGGAGCCTCAGGCACCGGCGGCACCGGCGGCACCGGCGGCACCGGGCCTGTCCATAGCTACCAGCATCTTAGGGCAGTTCGGGCAGAATGTCGCGCATGCGTTGAAGCTTCGTCACTTCACGGAAGGGGGCACATCATGGCACATCCGAGCGGTCCGAGCGTGCAACTTCGAGATGGTCCAAGAACTCAGCTCCGAGGGCCAGTCCAGCACACTGCGCTGGACACTGTCCAGGACACTGGCCGGCACGGCCACGGCCGGCACGGCCACGGCCAAGCGCCGCACGCGGTGCCGCACGCGGTGCCGCACGCGGTGCCGCGCAGGCAAGCCGTGCACTCCGACATGAGCCCCGCCAGAGGGCCACTCAGAGGGCCACTCAGAGGGCCAGTGAGCGCAGGTCGGACTCGTGCCGTCGTGACTTGATGTGCTTAAGTCTGCGTGCTCTGCTTACTTACTGCCTTACTGTTAGCGAGTTGCACAACTCATCTCGCAATGGTTTGGGGCAGACATGGGCAGAAGCCCTCGGAAACGACAACTGAATGGTGGGCGACGGCGAAGGCACAGGACTCGGAACTGGGCCCTACCAAGAACGAGGCACACTTTTGCAGCTGGGTCTCTGAACCTGAGATGTCGCTTCAAGGAGGAAGCGAGCTCAAGCTGCTCAAGGACGGCCGAGCGGGCCAGAGTTGCCTGTGAAAGAACACTCCAGATGGTTCAAAAACTTTGAGCGGCAGTCCTTGCAACTGCGAACGAGGCAAGAAGCTGGAGAAGTGTTGTCAGCAGCAAATTCCTATGCTAGACACACCTTCGACTTTCGGATTGTGAGTGAAAAGCGGTGCGAGGCCATGAATTCGAGGCCACAGGATTGCCCTGAATTATACATCGCCGCTATGAACCCGGATTGAGGTGCTGCGTTGAATCCTTTGCAGGATGACCCCCTCGAGCAGCTTCTATCCATCCTATGAGTAGCTTCTTGATCCGTAATCTCCAGGTTTCATACCCCCCCCCCCGGGGTGGTCGATTAATGCATGAGCGGGGATATGATGGGACATTTTTTCTCTCTCTCCCGATCCCTCTTAGATCCAGTGTGCAGTCATCGGCGTGCTTTTACGCACTACTTAAGACTCTTCTGGCATACCTGCATACACACCCCTTAAATCTGACTGGACACGCAGGAGCTTCCTTCACATAGGTTGTACAGAGTCCAGCTTTTCTTTGGAGCTGCTGAAACTCAATGCTCTTCACATGTTTTAAGATAGAGTCTCACACAGCGCAAGATTCGGACGAGACTCGCAGCGCAAGATCCTACACATGTCCTCGCCGCGAGAGAGAGCAAGAGCTTGCACATCCGCATTTGCCCGCTTTCTGCTGGAGTCGGGGAGAGCGAGGAGAGCGAGGGTACGGGATAAATGGGATAAGTTCGGCTCGCACCTGCTTTGCAAATTGGAGCATCCGGGAACGTAGAGAAAAGCAACACTTGGATCGGACCAGGGCGCCCACCACCAGCTTTATCGGCTGGCGTGAAACCGTGAAACCACCCGTTCCACGGGTGCCGCGAACTGTCGACAAAGAGGAAAGGACCCATGGGTTAGCTGGAAAGCGAGCCATGCAGAGGAGATGCCTGCGATTCAGCGCAGGTTAGGCGAAGCTAGCTCAATGCCAGGGGCCTGAGTACAAAAGGCGCGAAGGCTTGCAAGGCCGCACAAGAAGCTTAGGGTCTGGTTAATCTGGTTCATCTTGTCTAAGATGGTTCATGTCGAGCCTTCCACTACTTGACAGGGCAAAGAAAACGAGCAGAAACACGCTAGAAACCGTAACGTCGCATGTGGTCTTCAACCACCCTTGACTCCCCGAGATTCGGGACTTAGGTGTCACATTCCCAGCAGGGGCTTAAACGACGACAGCTTCTGTGAAGCCTCTTGGACTGCGTGAATACTACGAAAGTGCTCCCCTTGCTGCAAATCTCTCGGCTCAGAACCGTCTCTCAAAACAGATTGAGAGCGAAACTGAGAAACGTGGATTTGATGAGGGCGCCGTCGGGCGGGACGTACAATTCTATCGCTTGGTCAAAGGGGTCCCGGGCAATCCCGGACTAGTCCCACCCTGCTGGAACTGCTCCCAGCAGGCGTTCAAGAGCAAAATCGGAGAACTCCTCACGACCGCTTGCACTTATCATGCTTGCTGCTGCCTAAGGGACTCATTGCTGTCAGCGGAACGGTGATTTGCGTGCATACTGCGTGCATGTTAAGTATCTTCCGACTGGGATAAGGCTTTGTAAGGACCTTTTGTCGCACAAGGGGTTCATCTGGGCAAGCGGCTGCCTGCCAGTCGCTGTGCAAGGTCTGTAGAAACAGCGCCGCAATACTACCATGGCCGGCACGTGGAATTCTCAGACTTCTCAGACACGTTGCAGGATGGGAGGCCGCTGCAAGACATGGGCAGCTGGTGGAGATCTCTCCCTTGCAAGTACCACATCTAGATAGAGAACCTCCAAGGTGCGGGCTTCCTTTCTCAACAGCTATGCTGGCTTTGATTAACCTCCAAAGTCAGAAGGCAGCTGTTCATATCACAGAGAATCTGGACGCTACCCTCCCTAGACAACATCTTGGAAATTGATGCCTGATCTTGCGGACACGCTCGATTCCAAGATCAACATGTTCGCGAGCCGAGTTTGCCCAAGTAGGCTCAAGATGCGCAGCGTCTTTGTGCTTTCTTTGGGGGTCCAATTGCAGGTCTTTGGGGTGGCAAGCACATGATCAGGATGCGCTTCTGAGGCTTTGCAATGGATGTCTAGCGAAAGCTTCGCGACCATAGCCGACCCCCCCGAGCTGGCGGTACCTTGATGATCATCTGCTTACAAAGAAATGGGCTCGGGCTTGAACACCCCGAAGCCACGGACAATCTGGATGTCAAAGGCCTTGCATACTTGAGGGTACCAGTTTCAGACTTGTCAAAAAGCTGGCAGCCTCTGAAAGTGGTACCCTCAGCTCGATCGCTTGCACTTCCTGGCAACAGCATGAAGAAGCGATCTTGGGTAGACACGCGCGAGGAGTTCTCAGGGCAAAGCAGCAGCAAGGCGGCAGAAAATCAAGTGCGAGAACAAGCTACAGCCGTTTTCTCTCGACCCCACCAATGTGCGGTCTTCCTGTGCTTGGACACTGGCGACACTGGCGCCTTCACATGCCTCAGAGCTCGGAACCTCTTCGGAGAGCCTTACAGAGCACATCTTGACCCATGAGGCGACGATGCCCCGATGACACAGGGACTGTGCCGCAGAGCGACTCGAATGAGACCAATGTCACCCTCTCGGTGACCTGCCGGCTCCGAGCTGCTCTTTGATGACTTTGAAGTGTACCGACGGCACCCTGCCCGATGGGCCTGGCGCAGCGGACTTCGATGGGCCTGGGATCCCGGGGATCCCGCAGTTTGTCGGACAAGGAAAGGAGCTTGCAGAAAGAGAGGCGAGATGCGGTGGCGGAGTTCTTTCCAGCCATTGCTTTCACAATTCCCAACACGATCATCTACATCGCCCGTGAACCCTTGAAGAACGTCAACCGCAGCACAAGTCGAGCAATCACAGCCGAGGTGTTCAACGGACTCCGGCCGGTCGTGAGCAGTTAAAGCAGCATGCTTCACAGATTTCACGGTGTTCGGGGAATAGGCATCAAGCCCTACTGTGTAAGACACAGGAGCAGGAGGTTGACTCCCCAAGGAACCACGCCGTCAGGACTCCAAGAAGATGGTCGCAACACCTTCGGTTCCCGCAATGATACGCCGCATTGGCCAGTTCCAAGTTTCATGGTCTTGTATGATGATACGTAAGAATATCGCAAACAGACATGACGATCAAGCCTCCAGGATCCGCATGCCGCATGCCTCGGACGTCCAAAGCGATGCTAGGATGCCCCAAGCGAGCCCACCAAGCTCCGTCCACCCGAATTCCTGTTCGTCTTGTAGGCTTATGTAGGTACTGGTTGCCCCTGTAGCACACAACTTCCCCGAAATACCCTCTCGGTGTTACGAATTGCGTTCTCGCTTCCCGAGCTCCAGAAATTCGGACGGCAGGGACAGCATGCTTTCTTGGTTGCTGCACATTTGGTTTTAGGATTCTTTGTTCGCGAAATGGGGTGCACCCCTTATCCACGAACAAGATGGCCTTCGGAGCGTTTGTATGCTATTCGGGGGTGCCCTATAACTCTGATTGGGCGCTACCTGTTAGTTGAGCCCTCGGTGGAACCTTGATCTTGCCGTCAAACAAGCGACTGCATTCCTCAGCATTTTCACAGCGACTGGTGCATCCCAAGCAGCTCCTATAACCTGAGCCTTCAGAAAACGTCAGCGCTCTCGGCCTCCTGTCTCGGCCTTAGCTGAGATGGATGACAATTCGGCTTGCAAGCTCAGGCGGCGCAGAGAGCCGCCAATTTGGCTTGGTCAGTTCATTTGGTGGGCGCGTGGTGCGTTTCAGGCAATTTTACCTGAAAGTTCATTTTCTGGCGTGGGTTGCCTTCACAATTTGTCTGAAGGTCATTTTTTGTGGCAAACGACATTGCCCCAAAAGTTCTTGTTGTGGCGTGGATGCTCCAGGGTTAGGTCAGGGCCCTGCTTCCCTTTACACCTCCACACTGTGCCAGGGCCGGAGGGGACGTGAGGGGACGTTCATGGTGGCCTTACATGGCCCTACCTTCTAACCAGATTCTAGTCTACTGGCCTCTGCGGAGGTGGGGGAAGCATAGACGGCACGGGGACTGTGCCCAGAATCTCTTGCACACTGAAGGATTAAGAGAGCAGAGCCTCAAAGTTCCTGCAGTGAAGAGCTGTCATGGCTTGCTTTTCTTGGTATATTTGGTGAGGCAGGCACCCATCTTCAACTCATCTTCATATCCTGACGTCTCCACTCAAGGAAACCTTGAAGAAACCCCCGAGGCCCCTGAGTGCACTTGTCCAGATGTCGTGCATATCGCGCGAACAGGCACCAGCGCAAAGAGGACTGCGGTCGGGCAAGGCCGGGCAAGGCCGGGCAAGGCCGGGCAAGGCCAAAGTTTACCACTTTTTCGCGCCCACGCCCTCCGACAACATCAGCTGACTTCTGTCAGGGCGAACCCTGCGAAGCCTTGCCAAGCGGGCCCCTGCGCTGGATCGCCATGCAGACCTGTGCAGACTGCGGAGAAGCTGCGGACACAAGCCGCGCTTTGAGTCGCCAGGGTGGCGAGGGTGGGGGATCCCGGGCTCCAAGAGCGCATGCATGTGAGCATGCGCAGCAAAGCAAAGGATCTCAGCTGGCGCATGCGCCAAGCTCCCTCCTTGACCTTGTGCCGTTGGCAACTACGTCAACAAGGGCTACGCCTAGGGCAAAGGCACCTGGGACACTGCCCACAGTGCCCACAGTCGCTCTGACCCTGACATGTCCTGACCTTCTGACTGTCACTCTGCGGCGAGGCAAGCGGGCCTCAATGCCGCGGGTCTTGGTATCCCTTTAGTATCCGCTGTTGCCAAGTTGCTCAATGTTGCGAAGTCAGCCAGGCCACCCAGGTCGTGGTTCCAGAAGGACTTGATCTTAGCAGAAACGGCCAGGCTTGGAGGACGTCGCGGGGGCTCGCTTCCACCACACCTTGCCTCCAAGCGCAAGGACTCCAGACGCGGACGGCATCGAAAGGTTTCTCGCATTGCATGGCTGTTGCAGCTCTGGCTCCCATACTCAAGCGGAAGCAACTCTGCAACGGAAGTCAACTCTGATCCAAAGGTAGAGATGCTCTCAGCTGGTACCATGGGCACCAGGGAGCTGTTGGTGCTTCTGTCCTGCATCTGCCGCTCCGCAAACACATGTTCGGCCTGGCCTCATGCCGCCTCATGCCTCATGCCTGTGCACCTGATGCAATGCTTGCATGCTTGTAGGTGCCTGGTGGCAAGGACAGCGCACCATGCCGTTGTGCTATGAAAGCGGCACATCCTGGTGCCCTGACTCTGACATCTCAGGCTGCATGTGGCCCTGCACGCTTGGACTTCTCAGCATGCGCAGCTCGAGGCACGGAAATCACGGAAATCCCGTTTCAGCCGGACTGCCTCAACTGCCTCATGTCAAAGGACGATTCGCAGGCAAGCCCCTGACCACAAACAGAGGGACGTGCCCGCCAAGGCCTGACACGATGGAGACCACGGAGCCCGCGGAGCCCGCGGAGCCCGCGGAGCCCGCGGAGCCCGCGGAGCCCGCGGAGCCCATCTGCTGCTTCTCAGCATGTCGGTCAGACTCGTCATGACTTGTCCCACTGTGGCTCTGAGGTCAAAGTCTCAGACATCGGAATGAATTGGACCAGCGCATCAAATATCAATGCGGGCAGGCCAGGCGAAGTCATGCGAAATCGGCGAAGTCTACGGGATCCTGCTGTGCATCATATGGAGCATGCCAAGCTTCCAAACGTTGCAAACATCTCAGGATGGCTTGATTGGCTTGATGCTTTGAGGCATGCCTGTGGCGTGCCCCATGCGACCTGCGTGGAGGCGATCTGCGTGAAGGCAACGCAGCTTCAGAGCTGCCCGCTGCCTCCTGAAGCATCCTGGCATGTCAAGCCGACCCAAGCGCAAAGGCCCAGGGCAAAGGCACAGGCACCCCGACAGTGGTTGCACCCGGTTAGACAGGAATCTGTCACTCCAATCGAGGTGTGCTGACCCTACTACGAACCCTCAAGTCAACAGCCGAGACTCTGCTGCCCATCGCGCCAGCCTTTTGCCCGACTGAGGCGCCATGGCCTATACTCACGCCTTCTCTGATTTCTCTGCCATCAAAGACTCGGATCTCTTCGGAGGGTGCAGGCGAGGCCAGGTGAATGGCGAAACGAAGAGGGCGCTCGGACTGCGCTCGACCCCACGGCGTCACGGCCCCCCGCCCTGTCAGGCCCTGTCAGCCTGTTTGGATCTGACAAGGTTGAAAGGCAGCCACCTGTGTGCTGGTGCTAAGGGTGCCCCCAGACATCAGGCCGCGAAAAAAAGATGCCACAGCTGGATGCTTCGGACAGAACCTCCCCGCAGATCACAAGTTCCTGAGTGGCAACAGGCAGAACAGGCAGAACAGGTAGAACAGGTGGAAGGAGACGGCAAGTGGCACCAAAGCGGGCCCCACCTTTGTCGAAGCCTGGGCCTGATCTTGAGGAAACCTGCAAAATTCAAAAGGCTGCGCACGACGGTGTCATCAGGCGCGTGCGAGATGCGCTGCCCGGTGACGCAAACGCAAGGCTGATGCAGGCGGAGTCCGACACACGCAAGCCGGAAGGCCCGTCTCGACTGACCTGCTCTGCGCGGACGCGGCCGAAACGAAGTCCGCGGGAGCTCACCGCGCGGCAGCCGTGCTCTGAACCAACGCAAATGAGAAACCGGTTTCGGCCGTACGGGATCAGTGCGAGCGCACGGGAGTCCATGGGACACCGAGAGTGGTCGAGCGGCGCACCCGTAGAGCTCCACTGCAGGACTTAAGCCGAAGGACATCATCTTGAAAGTTCACGCCTCGACCCACAAAAGCTGTACAAGCCAACTCCCGCTGGGACGCCTCATGACCACAAGGTTGCCTGAGCCTGCCTTTTCATGAGACCTTGATGGCTGATGTGCTTTGGCACCACGTTCGTGGCTCCTAGCCGCCCTAGCCGCTGGCCTCGTCGTCATCGAGTCATCCCATCCTCCAGCTTCTCCACTGCGGACGGCGCGGCAGCTTGCGGAGCGGACGCTCATCTAAAGCAAAGAAAGACAAGAGAGACTTAAGAGAGACTTAAGAAAGACAAGAAAGCCGTAAATGACCGTAAATGACCGGCTACTGTCCTGGTGACACCCCTGGCCTGCACACGATCACACACGCCGTCACACGCCTCTTCACGTCGACCTGTTGCAAGATGTTGCAAGAAGACCTGCTTAAGAAGACCTGCGTAGCCGCACAGGACTGCAGCGAAGATCTGCTACAGCATGACTCAAGCTCCGACACGTGAGACAAGACAATGATCGACAGTGCTTGCCGCCTGCCACTCTCCAGGCACAAGTGGCAATACATTCAATGCATCCCAGTGGGTCTTACCAAACGGTGAACCACATGGACACGGTTGTGCAAGCACTGCGGCCGCTAGTTCGACCTTCAATGTGGCAAATCGTGTGCACTGCAAGGCTGTGCAAGAAACCCACTTAAGGAGCCACGGCAAGAGCTATCTAGCTGAACCTAGCTATTCTTCAGCCATGATTCTGTCATCTGTGAGTCGTTGCTCGTTTGCGCATCGAAGCGGACAAAGGGGACGACCTGCAGCTCCCCAAAAGCAGAGCCTTGGCTTTGAGCCAAACCGTGGGAAGGGCTGGGAAAGGGCTGCAAGGCGGCACTGGCGCCGACACCCGGCCACCGACAGCGGGATTCCGGCTCCAGCACAATCGAGTCTTTGATGACGACGAGCCAGAACCAGCAATGGAGTCTGGTGGGAACAGCGGATGTCGAGGAAGCAGCCTTGTCAGAGGGCCCATGTCCTTTGGCCAAAGGATCCCAAATTAGGATCTTCAACAGCTTCGCAACCCTTTCATTGCCCCGCTTCTCCTTAGACTGTCACGAGACGAGTGGCACATTGAAGCGCGTGCCTGAATTCAGGGACTCCACACCGCAT